GGCCACTGCACTCCAGTCTGGGTGACAGAATGAGACTCCAACTCAAAAAAAAAAAAAATACCAGTCCTGTTATTTGGTAATGCGTTAGAGGTTTTGTTGAATTAAAGTAGTAAGCAAAATTGGGTGAAATGATATTTCTGTAGATTGGCTACATTGTTATAATACAGTGTTATATATGTAACATGTATTATATATAGTTGTCATAAATTTTTATAATACATACATTATTATATGGTATATGTATAATACATATATACATTGTTCTTGTCAGTTTTTTTGTCCATGATAGAGTGGTGTTATAAGGCATTCAACCATTTTCTCTTATTGCAGCTCTCCCATGAAAAAATAATTTTGAAAGCAAGACTTTACATAAATATGCGTTTATATTTGTTTTTAGAAGACCCATTTGAGGACTTCTTTGGGAATCGAAGAGGTCCCCGAGGAAGCAGAAGTCGAGGAACAGGTTCATTTTTCTCTGCCTTCAGTGGATTTCCATCTTTTGGAAGTGGATTTCCTTCTTTTGACACAGGTATTATATCCCAGATTTAATCTGTATCTAAATATAAATTAGTTTTTATACACTAAATATTCTTTTAGTCAGAGAAGTTTATGTGTATTCCTTTTGATAGAATAACTTTATAGATTTGCCAAAATTTTTTATGTATACAAAACTGTGCTTAGTAACCTACATTTTATCTTAATCTCCCCAAGAATGTTAAACTTGAAAAACTACTTCTAATTTTACTATTAGAGACCAGCATATAATGAAATTCTAAGGTGAAAGCAGTAATGTATATTACAGATCAACAAGTGCAAATCCTTCATGTTATCAAGCGTCCTTTGCCATTTAAAAAAAAAACCTGAGCCCACGGGTTCGAGACCTGCTTGGGCAACTTGGCGAGACCTCATCTCGACAATAAATAAAAAATTGGCCGGGCGTGGTAGTGCGCGCCTGTAATTCTGGCTACTCGGAAGGCTGAGGTGGAAGGATCACCAGAGCCCAGCGGATTGAGGCTGTGGTGACCAGGAGCAGCCACTGCATTCCAGTCTGGGCGACGGAATGAGACTCCGACTCGAACCAAACCAAAATAAAAAAAAAGTACACTGCTAGGCATAGTGGTTCAAGCCTGTAATCCCAGCATTTAGGGAGGTGGAGGTGAGAGGATTGCCCAGGGGTTCGAGACCCGCCTGAGGATCATAGTGAGACCTCATCTATACGAGAAATAAAAAAAATTAGCTGGATGTGGTGGTGCATGCCTGGAAGACTGAGGCAGAAGGATTTCCTGAGCTCAGCAGGTCGAGGCTATGGTGGCCATGAGCAGCATGCAACTGCACTCCAGTCTGGGTGACAGAGTGAGACTCTGACCTAAAAAAAAAGTTTTACAAGCAGGCAACATCCTAAGAGTGTCCAAGTGGATAGAATCAGAAGGTTAGACTTTAAAAGCAGCCCATGGCAGACTGACTCACTAGTGAAGTGTCTAGCTGCACACATACAGTTGTCAGTAGGTCACCAAACAGCTTAAGAGTGGAGTAATAGGCGTATATTATGGTACAGTTGTCTGTTTTACTTGAAGCATTAGAATCTTGTCTGCTATTTGTTTTCTTTCTTTTTTTTTTTTTGAGTTGGAGTCTCACTTTGTCACCCAGACTGGCGTGCAGTGACCACTCCTGGCCACTGCAGCCTCGACCTGCTGGGCTCCGGCTATCCTTCCACCTCAGCCTTCCAAGTAGCTGGTACTACAGGCATGCGCTACCATGCCTGGCTAATTTTTGATTTATTGTAGAGTTGTGGTCTCACCAAGTTGTCCGGGTGGGTCTCAAACCCACAGGCTCAGGCAGTTCTCTCGACTCGGCCTCCCAAAGTACTGGGATTACAGGCTGAGCCACCGAGCCCAGCTTGCTATTTCATTTTTGTTATAGTCATGATATTCCTCTTCACAGGGTAGCTGTTCTAATGATCTCATTTTTATTTTTAAATTTCCTGGTAGCAATTGGCAGAGCTTATATGGGTTGCCTTGTTCATGATAGTCAATTTTTTTTTGCCTTTTATATTGTTCTGTTAACATCTAGGTAGTCCACTTGATTGGACCTCACCTTCTATTTTTTTGAGTAGAAGTCTCACTCTAGCCCAGGCTGAATTGCAGTGCCGTGCTCATGGCCACCACAGCCTCCACCTGCTGGGCTCAGGCGATCCTTCTGCTTCAGCCTTTCAAGTAGCTGGAAAGACAGGCATGTGCCACCATGCCCGGCTAATTTTTTGATTTATTGTAGAGATGAAGTCTCGCCAAGTTGTCCAGGCTGATCTCGTACTCGTGGGCTCAGGCATTCCTCTCACCTCACCCTCAAAGTGCTGGACTATATAGGTGTGAGCCACTGTGTCTGGCCTGAACTTGACTTTTTTCATGTGCTGTCCCCCAACACATCCTCTTATTTGATATTATGTGATATGCTATCCAAAGGATAAAGGAGAATAAGTGAAATCTGGTTAAAATACCAAGAAGTGCCAGGCATGTATAAGCTGGGCACAGTGGCTCCCACCTGTAATCTCAGCACTTTGGAGAATTAGGTGGGAGGATTGCTTAAGGCCAGGAGGTTGAGAACAGCTTGAACAACTTAGTGAGACCTTGTCTCTAAGAAAAGTTAAAACTTTAGCCCAGGCGGTAGTGCTCACCTGTAGTCTGATACCTACCCCTGTGGTCCGGTGGGAGGAGGTAAGCCAGTTAGTTGGCTGTTCTGTGGTATTCAAGTCATTCTGTTCCTGTATGATGGAGATCCACATTGCCATCACTCTCTCTCTGAGGTGCGTGATGCCAGGTAGATCATGCAGAAATGGAAGATCTCTGGCATGTTAGAAATGCCTGTCAGGTGCAGGGAAGTGCCATATGAAGGAGAGAGAGAGAGAGACTATGACAAGAAATAGCTAATTGTGTTCCTCTGTCTGGAATACACGTTTGATGTTTTGGAAGAGGCTCTGTCCTCCTTTTCCCAGCTGTTCAAAAGCTGAGCCTAGGTTTCATGCTTGTGTGGTTTGCTACTCTTTGCTTCCACATCTGAATGCCAGATGGTTTACTGCTAAATTTTGAAGCTCTGGTTTTTCATGAAGGTTAGTCTCTAATTGTTTTTTTTTCTTTTTTTCTGTTTTTCTGTAGGCTTCACATCATTTGGGTCGCTGGGTCATGGGGGCCTCACTTCATTTTCTTCCACTTCATTTGGTGGTAGTGGGATGGGCAACTTCAAATCTGTTTCAACTTCTACTAAAATAGTTAACGGAAGAAAAATCACCACAAAGAGGTCAGTGTGTTATATATTTTAAATGTTTATTAAGTCAGCAAAATGTTTAATTGGAGCCACAATTGCATATCTTTCACAGTGTTGCATATAGGTTATTTGCTAAATATGGCACCAAGAACATCTTTTGATCTCTAGTTTATTAAAAGTCTTATTTATTTAGAGCCATACTTAACATGTAATAATGTAATATTGTATAAGTTGTCCCAGCATTGTTTGCATGGCAAAATGGAAAACCATTAATAGTAAAATCTTTACTATTTCTGACTGGAAGTATCTCTGCATGTATTTAGCCTCCATCTTTATAAGGTTTTGAGGCAAAACTTACTTTTGTCAGAATAAATCAATTTTAGGATCAGAAGATAAATTGATCACAATTGACTTCACCTGTTTTTTTGGCCTGAAAATTATATATATACAATAATGTCTTTTAATAATATGCATATACATTTACATATATTTACTGTAAATAATTCTTAAATGAATGTTACCCTACAGGATTGTCGAGAATGGTCAAGAAAGAGTAGAAGTTGAAGAAAATGGCCAGTTAAAGTCCTTAACGATAAATGGTAAGGAGCAGCTGCTACGCTTGGATAACAAGTAATTCAACGCACGCATTTAACAGAAATGTTAAACTATAACAAGCACCATTTGAGGATTAACAGGAACATTTTTTTTGAAGATTTCAAATGAACTCAACTTTCAGTATAATTGTACCTAATCTAAAGTATTTATAAACAGCTCATCGGAGCCCCTGTTTGTCATAGACTTTTGAGTTTGTCGTTGGGACCACATTATAGGACCATTTTTTTTGTCTTCAGAATTGTTGTAAATCTCTGTATGCACTTTGCTTTTTTATTAAAGGTACTCCAAGGTGAGCCTTGATTCTTTAGTGGTAGGACAAGATTGTACACTAACACCAGCATGGATCTGCTTTCCATTGTGTCTGAAATGTGAGCCAAGTAGTGTCAGCCTGCTGTGAAGTTAACATTGCCAGGACGAATCTTCTACAGAAATAATTTCAATTTTTTTTTTCAGTATTTACTAGTGAAAGATATTAAGGAATTAATGGTAATACATTTCTGGTTTAATATAAATCTTATAAGGATGTTTTCTAGTCGTGCATGAATGCTGGCAACTTAGTATGTTTTGACAATTGTTTAAATATGTAATGTTAAGCTTAGGTTTAAAAAAGTAAAGCTGGTTAACTGGGTCTTTGTCATTTGCTTAAAAAAAAAAAAGAAAATAAATGCGAATGTGTTTGGTGCATTCTTTTCTGATGGGATCTGTGGCCTTCTTGTGTCTGTGTGTGATTTTGCCTTAGTTTCTAGTGTCGCTTTCTAATAGCATTTTGTTCTATTCATTAAGATAGAGTCTGAACTTAACTTACATATGGACATTTTCTTCAGTATATTTGGAGAGTGTATGAAGTGATGTTTTAATAGTTAATTCAACATTAAGTTATGCTAACATTTTTGTAGAGGGAGGGAAGAAATGTTTATATACATTTTCATTCTTAAAAGTATGCTCTAGTTTTTTAGGATATATTTGTTGTACTATCACTTATAGATAATATGCATGGTAAAGTCACGGGATGATTTAGGTATGATTAAAAATAAAGGCATTTCTTTTGTTTCTCAATCTGTAATATCTTTCATGATCGCCCCTGGTAACTAAAATTCTAGCTGTGAAGATCTGCTTTGTTTTTTTGGAGTTAAAGAGTATGAAAACTGCTAGAAGGATGGGCAGTTCCCTGACAGACACCTTTCTGTCAGTGCTGGTTTAGCTGGAAAGCCTATGGGAATTGCTCATGGTGTACTATGGAGTCTTTGAGGAACCCGATGTGTTGTTATTGAAAATAAGTAAAAGGAGGGCCGAGGTGGGAGGATCCCTTGAGATTGAGACCAGCCTGGGCAACATAGTGAGACACTGTGTCTACAAAAAAGAATTTAAAACTTAGCTTGGCATGGTGGTGCACACCTGTAGTTGTAGCTAATTGGGGGACTGAAGTGGAAGGGATCACCTGAGCCCAGGTGATCGTGGCTGCAGTGAGCTGTGGTAGCAGCACTGCACTTGAACTTAGGTTGCAGACCCTGCCAAAAAAAAAAAAACAAGTAAAAGATATTTTTTAAAGTTTCCTAAGAGTGCAAAAAACAAAAAAGCATAGAAAATAGTTAAGTATTTGAAGACCGTTGAACTGAAGCAACAACAACAAAATAATGTAATACTTGACTGTTGCATTAGAAGCAAGTTAACGTGCAAGTGCTCCATGTTGTTGGATAAGGTAGGTATGTAGCTATGTCACACTTGGAAAACGGTTGACATCTTCTGTCTAGTGTACATCTAATTTCACAATTGGAATTAGAGTCAGGAAGCCTGCTTTATGCTATCAGAACAGGTGACTTTGTTACTAAATGAGAAATTCAAGTAATACTTTGGACTTAAAGAATTTTATACTTTTCAATAGTGAGTGGGTCTAGCCATTTGATAGCAGCTTTAAAGTGGTCTGGTGTCACCAGAGAGACAAGGAAAATGAAGTCATATCCATCTCATAATTGTTAAAGCAAACTAGGAAGCATTTTGCTAGCTTTAGTACTCTGACAATTTTGAACATATGTAGGTGTTACAGACTTTATGAAGTGTTCAGTGCAACTCTTACTGTAAATAGTTGATTCAACTTGATGTTACAGGTAAAAGATGTTTTTTTTGTTTTGTTTTGTTTTTTGAGTAGGAGTCTCACTCTGTCACCCAGACTGGACTGCAGTGGCCGCTCCCGGCCACCACAGCCTCAACCTGCTGGGCTCCGGCGATCCTTTTGCCTCAGCCTTCCGCCTCAGCCTTCCAAGTAGCTGGAACTACAGGCGTGCGCTACCACACCTGGCTGATTTTTTGACTTATTGTAGAGATGAGGTCTCGCCAAGTTGCCCAGGCGGGTCTCAAACCCGTGGGCTCTGGCAATCCACTCACCTCGGCCTCCCAAAGTGCTGGGATTACAGGCTGAGCCACCGAGCCCGGCCAAAAGATATTTGACACCTAAAGGAGTCTATTTGGTGAAACCTTTTTATTCTTTTTAAAAAATTTTTTAGGGAGGCACATAGTTAAAAACTTCAGAATTTGCATTTGAAAAAATTACTTTTATTCTGCTCTTTCATTCATAGGGACATTAAATGTTAATTTTTTAAAATTACTGACAGAATAGAAAACTTGTAACTGTCGAATCTTATACCATTGACTTTTAACACAAGTTTATTCCTAGAGATTTAGTCCAGAGTATGTGAAAGCAGGTTTGAAAAGTTATAATATGTTTGGATCATTGACAGCATCACTCAAATGAGTGACTTGTTAGAGTAGCACTTCATATAAAGTATAAGTTCTGTAACTCAACAGTCCCTCTACTTTCTGTGGTTTTGAATGCCTTTCAAGATAGGGAGCTTCTTGCTCATTCCAAAACTGCTTGCATCTGGACATGCTCAGTGTTGCAGGACTCTATCCGGAGATGAGCCCCCACCCCCCTTCCCTAGATGCGCTGGCTGCTGTCATTATTTCTGCTGTCATTATTATGCTGGATTGTGTCAGTATTTCTGTCTTGAGGGGACAGTAATCTGTATTTTTTCCTTGCCTGTCCTGTTTCCCTCTTCACTGTACTTTTACCCCTGGTTGGTTTGATTTAGTTCAGTGATGGATTATTCTCCATATTTCTGTCTTTCAGAAAATATAAAGCTAAGATTCCATAGGTTCCAGGACTGATTTTGGAATCTCAGTAATTGTTTAATATAATACAAAAGATAATCAGTAGTGGCATAAATGATGATTCATCGTTCTTCCTCTTTGAAGTTCTTTAAAAGACATATTTTGAAAGCATATAGTTAATGTTACCTTTCATTAAACTTACCTGTATATTTGTTCTGCTGAAGTGGGTGTTCTTTACAATATGGTAACACCTGAGAAATGTTGAATGATAATCTTTTCAGTTGGTTTTGTTTTTTTGTCTTTTTGAGTTGGAATCTCACTCTGTCGCCCAGACTGAAGTACGGTGGCCGGGAGCCACCGCAACCTCAATCCGCTGGGCTCCGGCGATCCTTCCGCCTCAGCCTTCCAAGTAGCCAGAATTACAGGCACGTCCTACCACGCCCGGCTAATTTTTTGATTTATTGTAGAGATGAGGTCTTGCTGCCCAGGCGGGTCTCGAACCCGCGGGCTCAGGCAGTCCACTCACCTCAGCCTCCCAAAGGCACAGGATTACAGGCTGAGCCACCAAACCTGGCTTTCCAGTTAGTTTTAACTTACGTTTATTAATTAATCTACAAAAGCTTCAAGGCTCCTGCTCATTCTGTCTTTGATTACCTACTATCTATTACTAGGCTTTTCAGGGAATACTGCTCTTGGTTTTCTTTTAAGTACTCTAGAATTAATGAGAGATTTTTTTTTTTTTTTTTTTTTTTTTTTGAGTTGGAGTCTCACTCTGTCACCCAAGCTGGAGTGCAGTGGCCGCTCCCAGCCACTGCAGCCTCGACCTGCCGGGCTCGGGCAATCCTTCCGCCTCAGCCTTCCAAGTAGCTGGAACTACAGGCGTGTGCTACCACTCCCGGCTGATTTTTGATTTATTGTAGAGATGAGGTCTGCCAAGTTGCTCAGGTGGGTCTCGAACCCGCGGGCTCAGGCAATCCACTCATCTCAGCCTCCCAAAGTGCAGGATTACAGGCTGAGCCACCAAACCTGGCTTTCCAGTTAGTTTTAACTTACGTTTATTAATTAATCTACAAAAGCTTCAAGGCTCCTGCTCATTCTGTCTTTGATTACCTACTATCTATTACTAGGCTTTTCAGGGAATACTGCTCTTGGTTTTCTTTTAAGTACTCTAGAATTAATGAGAGATTTTTTTTTTTTTTTTTTTTTTTTTTTGAGTTGGAGTCTCACTCTGTCACCCAAGCTGGAGTGCAGTGGCCGCTCCCAGCCACTGCAGCCTCGACCTGCCGGGCTCGGGCAATCCTTCCGCCTCAGCCTTCCAAGTAGCTGGAACTACAGGCGTGTGCTACCACTCCCGGCTGATTTTTGATTTATTGTAGAGATGAGGTCTGCCAAGTTGCTCAGGTGGGTCTCGAACCCGCGGGCTCAGGCAATCCACTCATCTCAGCCTCCCAAAGTGCAGGATTACAGGCTGAGCCACCAAACCTGGCTTTCCAGTTAGTTTTAACTTACGTTTATTAATTAATCTACAAAAGCTTCAAGGCTCCTGCTCATTCTGTCTTTGATTACCTACTATCTATTACTAGGCTTTTCAGGGAATACTGCTCTTGGTTTTCTTTTAAGTACTCTAGAATTAATGAGAGATTTTTTTTTTTTTTTTTTTTTTTTTTTGAGTTGGAGTCTCACTCTGTCACCCAAGCTGGAGTGCAGTGGCCGCTCCCAGCCACTGCAGCCTCGACCTGCCGGGCTCGGGCAATCCTTCCGCCTCAGCCTTCCAAGTAGCTGGAACTACAGGCGTGTGCTACCACTCCCGGCTGATTTTTGATTTATTGTAGAGATGAGGTCTGCCAAGTTGCTCAGGTGGGTCTCGAACCCGCGGGCT